TTGGAAGATACTGTTGTGGTGCTAGCTTTCTTTATTTACTTTGTAAGACCTCGCCACTGTAAATTTGTCATATCGATAGATGTATATATGTTTTGTCTGTCACATCTTAGAAATAACAGTATTATAAATTCTTGGGGTGTGACATGGACATATTTATTTTTGTAAAATAATCTCCGTGTCTCTGGATAGTCGGCCCAAACAGCCATCCTCTGTTCTCATTTTGTTGTTTTAGATACCTGTGATTCGGGCATCACTCTTATGTGAGTTTCCGTCCCATGAGGACTGGGACACCATCTGTAAAATGAGAAAATTTTGGAAATGGAAAAATATCAATTATTACAGTTTCTTGTAAAAAGTGAGGCCGGAATGAGCTAAAAATTTAAAAAATAATTTGAGGTTTTTCTGTTTCTCAAAAGTGACATAGGGCATCTATTCTACAACTCTCGTGTGCATCAAGGGACGTATTTTTTTTATTTTTTTTCAATTTATTGATCTTAAATCCTCAAGTAATGTTTAATAGACTTGGGAAGAACCATTGTAATTCTTTTAGTATTTATTGGATTTTATAGGCTATGCTTAAGGTTCCCCCTCATTGTAGGATTTGAAGGCTGATCTGACAAGAACAATTGGTTTATTTGTATAGGCTAAAAGGGAGCATGTTATATATTGCGAAGATCTATATGCTCCCATTGAGCATGATGGAGACAAAGCAAAAGATATAATAGATGAGGAATCGAAGAAGCTGGATCGAAAACCTGTTGGGTTCATTCAACAATGGTTTGAATGATAGTGTGTTCCACATATATCAAGTAAAACTTTGGCAACATTCCATAGGAAAAATGTTGGAAAGGTCATATATAAAAAAAAACATAGTTTTCTTGATCCAAATGCTAGTTAATTTTGAAGTTTAAATAAGGTGCTTCAATTGCATAGCACAGGGTATCAACTCTCTTTGATGAAAATAGTGTCACATTATGATTTACAAGCCTTGTTACTACTCAGTTTGTTGCATGATAGTTGGTACAGATTGGTGGTGGCTCTTTGCAATTCCACATTGGGTGGGAAAGTATTAAGGGTCAAGTTATATGTAGTTTATTAAATAAAGTAACCAGAAGAAAATCCTTTGATTCCTCTTGCTCATAGGCTCTCATAACAAACAAAAATAGGTTTCTAGTATATATAAACAGGATATTTGTATTCCCACATGGGATTGGCCAAGAGACAAATATTTTAATTTTACCCAACTGTTAAAATTCATTATCTCTTTTTAATTTTGAAATACTAACATCTTGCATGATACTTTTCTGAGAAAAAAGTTTTGGAAAAATTTACGCATGGGCCTAATAAATGCAAAATTATAGCTTGGTCAATATATTCCGCCATTTGGCACCCAGGTCATACTTTTTTATTTTTTTGTTTTATTTATGCCCATGTTTTAATGTTGGCAATATGGAACCATTTTTTAAAAAAATAAATCTCTCTCTCTTTTCTTTTTTTTTTCTTTTTTTTTTCTTTTTTATTTATTAAATACATGCACGGCACTATAAAATTTTTTATATTCATACAATTTGTATAAAAAAAAAAAACTACTAAGCATTGGTTGTTAGATCAAACGGTCAGTGACTCACTTGGTTTAAATTGGATGGTTGGATTGGGGGGAATATATATAGGGAAAATATAGAAACCTTTCCCTTATGTAAGAGCACTTAACGTTTTTTAAAAAATAAGGTGGTTGTTTGGCCAATTTTTAAAAAATAAGGTGGTTGTTTGGCCAAAGATGTTCTTCTCTGGTATTATCATTTATTCCCTTGCGTAAAGGTAACAGCAGTTTTAGGATCCAAAATAAATTGAAACTGCAAATTTTATGTGGTTGAAAAACTTAACATCCCAATTCCCAAGATTGAACAAGTACTCTCCAATTTTTGAAACGCAAGGCCTAAGTGTTGTAGAGCCTACAAGGTTGGAGTAAACTGGTAAACTGGCCGGTTCAAATCGAACTAACCAAGCAAGTCTCGCTCAATCAAAAAATACTAAAAAGATAAATAGTTACAAAACAAATCCAAACAAATATATCAAGTATATTAAAGCATGATAAAACCAAGCACATCCAAATGACATCGAAAAGTAGTGAAAAATCGATTTGAAAAAATGGATTTGTGCCTCAGGGTATTTTTGAGATTTTCTAAAAAACATGGAAAAATGTAAAAATAAGAATTCTTGATCAACATACTTTCTAATCTTTTCCAAAATGATAAAATACATCACAAAACAGTTTACAAACAAATCTCTTATTTTTGGAATTTTATATTTTTTAACTATTTTTTAAAATACCCTGCTAGACCACTGAAAACAGCCAAAATCGGATAAGCTAGTGCCCTGTTACGGTTTGACTGGCCGGTTCGAAGTTGGACTAGTCGAGTTTTTGAACACTGGAGCTTAGTATCCATGTTTTTTCTTCTTCTTTTTTTTGAAAATATTTCTTTAGTGATTTTTTGACGGATCTAACATTTCATATCAAAGAAATACTCCCATACAATAATTTTTCCTGGAGTTAATATATAGTACACTCCTATGGGAGCATGCTATATTCAGATCAAAGAAATACTCCCAGCCAATAATTCAGGATTTTTAAAAACTTTTTTGAGGAGGAAGTCTTTAAACTTTTTTTGAGGAGGTAACTAATTGAACTAAGAAAATAAGTATAACCCCTCAAATTGAAATAGAGATTATTTAATTGCTTCAATTATCTTTTAAGGTGGTTTTATCTTCTCATTTGATTTTTTCCCTAAATTTAATAAAGAAAAAATGGGAGCAAGTATGCCTCTTTTTAGGGGATAAGAATTTTTTTTTTTTTTTTCGGTGAATCAGTGGAGATATTGGGCCACTAGCCATTTTATTAAAAAGGCAATAATATGTTACATGAACAATCTTTATACAACCCTTCACATGTAAGGAAAACACACCATCTTCTTGGAAAAAAATAAAAAATAAGGATAAATATCACATAAACAACTTAGGATATATTGATTTCGTCACCTCACTTACTACCTTATGATAGACCAACGAAATGGATGACATTTAACATGGGGATGTTTTATTATTTGAAAGATCTCCAACCTAATTTAATTATGACTCTAATCATCATCTAATAGATCGCCTAATTAGGAGTATTATCTTAATTGGGGGGTGGTTTATGGTAGGCCAAAACTGCATATAGAGCTTGGGTCAGTGTTAGCAGCAGGAGCACCGCTGCAACCAACCCAATAAACTTCCAAGGATCACTGAGGTAGCTTTGATGGAACTGAACCGAGATTCGGTTCCACAGCTTCTCGTAGCGTTGTCTCAGCTGCTTCTGCACCGTTGCGAATCGTCCATCCGAATCCATTGTCAACTCCTTTGAGAGTCTGTTGAAGAGATCTGCCACCTCTGCATCACTTCCCATTGCATTCTCAATGATGCTCGAGAAGCGCAAAACGTCCACGTCCTTAGCAGTGTCTATGAGGTTGTCCATGAACCACACGTACGACGAGACCTCGCACCCCGCCCCCACGTGAAGACTCTCGAAAGCCAGCAGATTCAAGAACTTGGATTCCTGCTCATGGTAGAAAATGGGTTGTTAGAATGTCAAGTAATAGAGAGGCCAACATTAAATAAGGGAAAATTTTTTCATGATGGCTGGACCGCATTTTTATATACGCGGTCTAGAAAGTGTAAAGCATCCATCGTGTTTCATCTAAAAACAATGGAAACTAACGGTCGAAATGTTTTCTTACTAGAATTATTATTTTTAATTTTTAAAATTTATTTATTTTTTCATAAGCATGATCTCCATGTTAGAGATTACATGTCTTTAAAAATTAAATCTTAAAATGCATCTCAAAAATAGATTTATTAAAAGGGTCGCATTTCTACATATCCGGGATTGGAACCGAGCCCTTCAATAAAGGCAGCTTGTATAACGCGTTAATCATAACCAATCAAAGTAGGGCACATTTTCAACCCCGCCGGAAGATGCAGTTTTGGGGCCGTAAACCCTTATAATCGACCAAAAAAGTATTTTCACCTCCAATTACAAAACCTAAAGCTGCAAAACTAGGACCACCTTAAAAATCTATTTCCACCTCCAATTACAAAACCTAAAGCTGCAAAACTAGGACTACCTTAAAAATCTATTTCCACCTCCAATCACGAAATTGAAAGCTTAAAAAATGATAAAGATCTAACAAATCTATAAACACTTAAAATCGAAATAATCATTTTATTGCTCAAGAGATCAGTCGTAGGGATGAGAAAATGGATGTAGAACTGATATAAAACTAGTTTTATAAGAAATGCTACCTACACAAACAAAAATAGGTTTTGTTGCAGGTAACATAGCAATTTGATTTTAAATAGATTTATTTTTGCATTTTCGAACATCCAAACACGTAGTTGATTGCGTCTTAAGCGTAGTCAAACTTGATTACAATGATAAAAGGACGCTAAATTTTTATAAACCTCAGTGTGTCCTAAATTATAGACCATTAAAAATTTATGTGTATTATTATTATTATTATTATGTTTTGTATAATTTTGATAAAGATGGTAAAGTGTTTTTATCATAAATACTTATTTTTATATTTTTCCTTCATTTATAGATTATTTTTAAAATACCCCATCACAAATTGAATTTTATCAAATCGTTTTTCACTCCTTTTAACTTTTTTTCAACCTTTTTTAAACATTTTTTGTTTAATTTTATTTTAAACAGTTTATCCTATTTTTAAAGATTTTTTTTATTTTTTATTTTTTACTAATTTGTTGCTACTGCAGTACTTGAAGTCGGCCGAGTCTCCGCCTAAGTCGTTGATTCGAACTGTTGGTCCCTGCAACATTTGGATGATGTCCATGAGTACTGTTATGGAGATGAAGGCCCATGGTATAAGAGAGAGACTTATCCCTGCAACATTTGGATGATGTCCATGGGTACTGTTATGGAGATGATGGCCCATGGTGTAAGACAGAGGCTTACGTGTCTTTGGGTAGAGAGAAATTACCTTATATTTTTAAAGAGAGAAAAACTTATGTTTTTGAAAGAGGACCATTGATTTCATGATAAAATACAAATGTCAACAAATTTCTAATTTAATGCAATACATAACTTACTATAAAAAATTAAGGCAATAAAGAATGGGTGCAGTTGGCACACGGATGCATCGTGCATCTTTAAATTTTATCATGGTATATAATTTTGATGTAAAATGTTCTTAGGATTATCTCAAAATTTATTTTTATATC